CATGGCCATTTTTTGTGTCTGGTATGAGAGCACCAACCTGGGAATGTTTTTTATCAAGAACCAGCAGGTTTTGTGTAGATAATGGACAATCTTATGTCAACCTTATCAATCTGTTTCTGGTCCCACTGGCTAAACTAACAACCAAAAAAGAAACCTTTTTTCAGAATTTCATTTCAGGGGATATTTTACCCTTGTGGGGTTTTTCAGGGACTCAACCAATCGATACCAATATTGAGCATCTTCCAACTGATCAATTTTTATCCATTTAGTTTTTGTCATCTCTTGCCCCTTGTTGTACCAAGAGGTCTGTAAGGTTTTATCACCAGCCCCCTGGGCAGATGAGCAGGGTTAGTGTTGCTGCCTTCTCAGTGTGTGAGCTTTTAAAACCCCTTAAAGAAGAGCCTGTGTGGTTTGCAAATACCTCAAACATCTTTTTGGGGTTTTTTTCACCTGCAAAGCCAGTAAGAGGCAAGAATAATAAGGTTGTTCTGGAGCCAAGGAGCTTGTGGAAGAGGGAGCTGGAATTCAATTTCAGATCTGGATCTGTCCTGAGCACCCAGGACACCAGGTTAGGTGGGTCTTTGGGCTGATCTTGGACAGGTATTTCCATGTGCAATAGATGCTTTTTATTTCAATTATGAAGCAGGGTGCAGTTTTTTTTCATCCTAAAAGCAATCCTTTGTAAATTATGTTTTACAGAGCTTGGATTTTGAGTAGCAATTGAGTGTAAACAGATTTTGGAGAGAGGGATTTGCATTTGCCTTCTGTGTCATTCAGAGTTAGAGCACGTTCAAAAGAGTTTGGAAATGTTAAGGAAAATAGAAAATATTCCCAGAAGGAGATGTTTTTGAAGACTGAAATGTAGAAAATGATCCCCTGGAGGGGGAACCTCAGTTCTCCAATCTTCTGCAGATTCATTTTACTTTTCCACTTGGGATGCAGAGTATTGCTGGACATTGAAAGACTTTGCAGGCCACAGCCCAATCCCATAAGTACATTCTTGTGTTGCAAAAATGGATCTAAATGCAGAGAAAAGCCTTGCTTGATGTTCAGAGACTTTTCAACCACATTGGTGCCCTCCAGCCCAAACCACTTCATGATTCAATTAGGTTTATTCCCAGACCAGTGATAATTCCTCACACTTTTCAAAAGGATTCTGCCAAAACATTCAACTAAAATAACCTCAGGATGTGTCAGAATCCTTCAGGAAATGCTTCCTAACAGGGCATTGCCAGGCTTTAGCAGAGCATGACTTTAGCATGTCTTTAGCAGAGCATGACCAGCAGATCCCACATTTCATGGCTTTTTGCACCTGAGTCCAATGCCCTTCCCACAGAATGTTCACCTGAGATTGGGCTGTAAAATCAAAACTCTCCCTTTTATTTCAACCTAATGAAGATTTTCAGCTCCTGGATTCCAAAATTTTTAAAATACTTACTTACAGCACTTGATAGTTTTTCATTTTGTTGTCCTGTTTTGCAGCCATTTTTGAATAATTGCAACAAGCTCAGAAAAATGATGTTCCCTCTGGCAATAAAGCATCTTTCCTCTCTTGTCCAGCCTGTTGGGTTCTGGCTGCTTTTGTTCCTTTTTTAGCCAGCAGCTTCCTTGATTTTGATTCCTTGAAGCTTATCCTGTACTAATCCCTTGGAAATCTGTATGGTCATTCCACAAGGTGCCTCAGTCATCAATCAGGGAAAAGCAGCCAGATTGTGTGGTCATCTCATGGAAGATGGAAAGCTGTTCTTAAAATCTGCTTGTGGTGATGGGCAATCAAAATTTTCTATCAGTATTTTTTTTTTCTTTTTTAATTAGCTGGGAAAAATATCCCTAATGGTAGTCCTGGGTGTCCTTTGCAGTGGTTTGTGCACAAAGGACAGAAGGGCAGGCCCTGCTGAGAGACCTTCAGGGCTGTGTCCAGTTCTGGGTCCCCAATCCAGGAAGGGCATGGAGGGACTGGAGCGTGTCCAGGGCAGGGCAGGGGCTGGAGCCCCAGGAGGGGCTGAGGGAGCTGGGCAGGGGCTGAGCCTGGAGCAAAGGAGGCTCAGGGGGCCCTTGTGGCTCTGCACAACTCCCTGCCAGGAGGGGACAGCCAGGGGGGGCCGGGCTGTGCTGCCAGGGAACAGGGACAGGACAAGGGCAAAGGGCCTCAAGCTGGGCCAGGGGAGGCTCAGCTTGGACAGCAGCAGCAATTTCTGCATGCAAAGGGTGCTCAGGCCTTGGCAGGGGCTGCCCAGGGAGCTTTGCAGTGCCCAGCCCTGCAGGTGTCCCAGCAAGGGCTGGAGGTGGCACTCAGTGCTCTGGGCTGGGCACAAGGTGGGCACTGGGCACAGCTGGCACTCTCTGATCCTGCAGGGATTTTCCAGCCTCAGGGATAATGTGATTGTTTGAGTTTTTGCTTGTGCAGTAAAATTTCAAAGCAGATTTTCTGTAAACTCGTTGCATCAGTGAGTTACAAATACCACCAGACTGGTTTGCTTTATTGCTGTTATTTATGGAAAAACTGGTGGTGCAGACACATCAGATTGGTCATTAGGATGTTCCCTCCCTGGTATTTTAGGCAGGATGTAAGGAAAAACTTAGAGATCTCTAAGGGGGAATGGGAAGGGCCTCTGAAATATCAGAGACTTCATAAAGTAGAAAAATAAAACTTGAAGGATGGCTATTAAAAGGCTGATTTGCAAACTGCTGTCTTTCAGAGACAGTATACAGGTGCTTCATGAATATCTGAGGAAAATCCAGCCCGTTTTTAGGAAGAAAAGAATCCCTGGATCAAACCAAAGCAAACTCAAGTGCTTTGTGAAACCAAGCAGAGAGTGAAGCAGAGCAGGGTCCAACGAGATGCGGAATCAAGGCAGTGATTTCAGTGAAGTGATGGTGGCTGACTGCAGACTATGAAATTCATCATCACAGATTTTAAGATGCTTACATGTTTTTACAAGTGAATTTGGATTACCAACCCTTCTTTGCCTTGTCATTGGGGCACACTAATGAGGGCAGTGCACAAACTGGTGGATTTTATAGATTTGACAGGACTTGTTGAGTAGACATCAACACTTGGCAGGATCACAGGGTTCAAAATGAGCTGGATTTTCCTGGTGAAATCCTCTTTTTGTTAAAACTAGTGCTTGTCTCCCAAAATGTGCCAGGCCAAACTCCTGGAGCAAAGTAGAACTGTACAGATGTTATTGAACAGGAAATTGTGCCAAGAGCCATAAAACGCCTGGGTAAAAACAATGTTTCTTATGAGGCTAAAAAGCTGTTGCTCCTTGAACTTGAAACCAGTCTTTGGTGCAAAGTTTTGCTGTTCTATTCCCAAATATTTGGCAATTTCCTTCCTGTCATTCTATTGTGTCAGAAAAAAAAAGAAGTAGCTTGAAAATAAATGATTGAAAAGACCTTGCTGTGGTGTTTTCCCCCACAGGACTACAAACCAGTTTGCTGGGGTCAAGATCAGTGATTATTTTGCTGTTTTAGCAAAAAAGCATCAGCCCCTTTTAGATGAATATTTTTATACACAGTCACTGTTATAAAGTGAAGGTGTAAAGAAACTCCATGCTACACTTTGGAGTAAATTATTTGGGCCCTTAATAACAGGAGGTTGCATGGTAAATATTTTAACCTAATTTAAATCTTCTGCAGCCACTGACATTCACAGGTTTTCCTCGTAACTGCTGGTGAACTTCCACAAAGATAATTCCTGTTAATATTTTGGTGTGAAGCAAACTGGGGAGTGTTAATTTTGCAGAAAAAGGACATTTTTCAGAGGAGTGGTTATAAATGCTGTGCGTGCAAATCCGAGGCACCGGAGGGCAACGCTTGGGGTGGTTTGTGATGGTTGATGTTTGGGGAGTGAGCTGGGAGTGTTTTCCACAGAAAATTGTGTACAATGTGGGGGCTGACTGCTGAAAGGGGGCAGGATGGGACAGGGTGGTCTCTTGTGTGACCCCATCTGGAATTCTGTGCACTGTTCTGCAGAGGAGGGCATGGAGCTGCTGGAGCAGGTCCAGAGGAGGCCATGGAGTTGCTGAGGGCTCTGGAGCAGCTTCCCTGTGGAGCCAGGCTGGGAGAGCTGGGAATGCTCAGCCTGGAGAAGGGAAGGGTGTGTGGAGACCTCAGAGCTCCTGCCAGGGCCTGAAGGGACACAGGGGAGCTGGAGAGGGACCCTGCAACAGGGACTGGAGGGACAGGACACAGGGAATGGGTTCAGACTGACAGAAGGAAAATTTAGGTTACATTTAAGGAATTCTTCACTGTCACAGGGTGCCCAGAGCAGCTGGGGCTGCCCCTGGATCCCTGGCAGTGCCCAAGGCCAGGTTGGACAGGGCTTGGAGCAGCCTGGGACAGTGGAAGGTGTCCCTGCCCATGGCACAGGGTGGAATTTTGGATTTATAGGATCCCTCCCAGCCCAAACCATTCTGAGTTCCTGTGATTCCATGGAAAGACCCACGCTAGGAGCTGGCTGCTCCTCTCAGTACCACCTTTGTCTTGTGGCTGCAATCCTTGTGCTGCAATTCAGTTTCTGTTGCAGAGCAGCTCCAGGTACAAATCCTCTTTTTTCCTGGAGAGCTTTATGTAACTGTGCTTTTTTTCCTCCCCTCATCACCTTGATGTGTCGCTCTCACTGCAGAAAATTTATTCCGAGTTTGGTTGTTATTTCTGTGCTTTCATTTGTTCGAAGGGAGATTGGGGGATGATTGCTCAATGAAGAAAAAGCTCATCTTGTTAAGTAGATAGCTGGATGTGGCAGGTCTCATTGTCAATTTAAATCATTGTGCATTGCAAGTGCTTCTCCTGGCATTGTCTGATACAGCTGCAGTGTCACGGGCAGTTTTTTATTACAGATAATAAGGTTCAGACTCTTTAAACATCACTCAAAACATAAAACACCACAAAGCTGAGGTAGAAAACAGCATTTTCAGTGTCGCAGTGCTTACAGAAATACACAGAAATGCGGATTCCCTATAAATTCCTCCCCGGGCTGTTCACTGTTGTTGCAGGCACTATCCTGGTTGACAACATGCTGATCAAAGGGACAGCAGGAGGGCCTGACCCCACCATCGAGCTCTCCCTGAAGGACAACGTGGATTACTGGGTGATCCTGGACCCCATCAAGCAGACCTTGTACCTGAACAGCACCGGCCGCGTGCTGGACAGAGACGTGAGTTGGGCCTTGCTTTTCTCCTCCACACACACGGTCACCTCTAATTAACCATGAACACAACTCCTGCTAGAATATAATCCCTGCATCTGTCTTGTCCCCACATGGATGGGAACAGAGTTCATCTGATCCTTTGTTTAGGATTTATTGGGAGCACACAGGAACTTGACCTTATGTGCAAATATTATTGTGAGCAAACATAACAACGAAGACCAAAGAAACCTGATGTTAAGAGTTTTATATCTGACCAAACTTGACTCGTTTGTTGAATTGGATTTTTATTCTGTTTTGCTGGCTGCTTACCCTGTGCCCTGTGACATTTATTAGCAGCCTGCTTTCCCTGTGTACACTGAATTATGAGCTGTGAGAAGTGACGAGTCGTGACTGCCACAATTCACTCACAAAGCTTGAGATGTTCCATTGAGAACGTGCTGGTTCACATTCTTTTTTTAAGGCAGCCTAAAACATATTTGCTGTGCTCATTCCTGTTGGTGTTAAGGAAATATTGTCAGGGTAGGTTTGATTTTTATAAAAAGAAAGATGAAAAACACAAAAATAAAATCTCGTTCCATTGAGAACGTGCTGGTTCACATTCTTTTTTTAAGGCAGCCTAAAACATATTTGCTGTGCTCATTCCTGTTGGTGTTAAGGAAATATTGCCAGGGTAGGTTTGATTTTTATAAAAAGATGAAAAGCATAAAATAAATAGGGGTGTTCTCATCTAGGCTAATTTCATTGAGGAGAAAACACTCTAAAAATAGAGACATTTCCTCACAGTGTTGCAACCTTGCGACAGAACCTGAAAGTAAAATTGACTTGCTAGTGCTTTAATCAATATGGCAAGAATGCTGTAAAACTCAGGAGCTCTCCTTGGAGTGCAGGGAAGTTTGTTTTGTATTAGCTTGATTGATTAATTTGTCTTCTCCATGTGTTTTGAGATAAATTCATAAGTACCAAAAACAACATGCAAATTTCTCCTCATTTCCATTTGCTGGTGAAAGGCACTAATTGAACTCAGCTGTTCTTAATTTTGTTTTAATTCACAAAGTGTTTTCCCATGCAAAGCACAAAGTGTGGCAGAGTGGTCATGGTGGCAGAAGACTTTCTGGGAGAGTTGGCACTTCTTCAAGTGCCATCCAGCACCTGCTGGAGCAGCTTTGGCCTCTCAGATTTAATTTTAAGCCAGAGCAAAAAATGAGAGCCTGGAATGGAAGGTAAGGCTGGAGAATCACTCTAAGAAATGTGGGGTCAATTTTTATCAGCCCACACCCATCCACAGGGAGTTAGGAACTAAAATCCCTGTTGGATCAGTGCTAATTCTTCTTTTCAAGGCCATTTGTTGACACTTTTTTGTCACCTTAACATGAATCAAAGTCAATGCTTTACCCAAAGAACCTCATAAGATTACTTGAGTTTCAATATTAGTCACAGTCTAAACCAATTCCCATTCCTGTGAGTTCCTAGACACTTTACAGGGATGTTCTTTGCCAGAGGTAGACTCAAGTCCCCTGGAAACAAGTGAAATGTGTACATTTCTTAATTAAATTCAGGTAATAACGTGTTTACATTGGTATTTAAGGTATTAATTCCTCATTTTTTACTATGAACTGGAACACTTCTTACCTCTAATACTGTGTCCAGTCATTCATCTCTGGCTATTTAAGTTCAGTGGGCTGTGAGAAGGAGATGTGGGCTTTAAGGTGGTTCAGATTTTGGGTGTGATGCCCCCTGTGCCTCTCTTGCATGGCCTCAGGGTAGTGCAGTCACTCACAACCCAAAGAAAAGGAGAGCAACCCTGAGTAAAAATATGAAATGTGTGTCATGGGCGTTATTAATATGGCTCTTCTGGGGACATGGGTTAGTGCTGGGTCAACAGCTGAACTCCATGGTCTTGGAAGTCTTTTCCAGCCTTATGGATTCTCCTAAAGGACATTTCCAGCCTTCAGAACCAGGGCTGTGCTACCCCAGCACCACAGAACCATTCAGTGTGGGAGGGTTTCTTTTTGTTAACAAAAATCCCAACCTATTTTCCCCATCCTTCCACTCAAATCCACTTGAAGCTTTCCAGGACCAATGAAACTGGGAGTTTTATTAAGTTGAACATTTAGATTCAGCTTTTTTTATTACAGAGCAAAAATTGGAGCCTCTGATTCACAAATTGCATATATTTGAATACCCTTCCCATTTTTCTCTCCCTGCTGATTCAGTCAGCCTGATCCTGTCCTTTTATTTATTTCTTGCCTTTCTTGACAACAAATCTTCCTAGATTGATTGTTACGAAGAATGGCAGTGTGCTTTCCAAATAAAATCAGATAAAAAGAAAATTCCACGCTTTTCTTCTAAAACTTTAAGAAGAATGACCAGTGATAAATCAGAACTGAAGCTGCTGAAAGGTGCTGGGATGATTTGTCCCTGGTTTCATAAAGCAACTTTGCCATTGTGCCATTGTTTATTTACGTATTTTTGTAAACTCAGAATATCAAATATTTATCAAATATCTGTCATTTCAAATAATTATATTATTCTTGGGCTTGGCTAATTAACCCAGATATACTTAGTAGTGACTGCAGCTTATTAAAGGCAGTCTAAAAACTCTTGGATCTTACTAAAATGAGTAGTAAAAGCCATTCCAGCCTAAATTTCTTTGTCCATTCATCAGTTTGGGAGTTTTAGATCACTGCTGTGTTCACTGCAGAGAGAAAAACAGGATTGTCCACACTGGAAGTTGTTTCTGAATTATTTGCAAATGTAACTGGTAACAGATGTGATTTATTTCAGACTTGACCTTTCAATTCAAGACAAGAAAGAAACAAGAAAGGCTTTGGGGAGTGTCCAGAGGAGGCCTTGGAGATGCTCAAGGGCTGGAGCCCCTCTGCTCTGGGGCCAGGCTGGGAGAGCTGGGGGTGCTCACCCAGAGAGGAGAAGGCTCCTGGGAGAGCTCAGAGCCCCTGCCAGGGCCTGAGGGGGCTCCAGGAGAGCTGGAGAGGGACTGGGGACAAGGGATGGAGGGACAGGACACAGGGAATGGCTCCCAGTGCCAGAGGGCAGGGATGGATGGGACACTGGGAATGAGGAATTGTTCCCTGGCAGGGTGGGCAGGTCCTGGCACATAACAGTGGAGGATCTTAGAGCTGCTTCCAAGACCTTGACTTGGTCAGTCACAGGTTTCTCCTCAGGTCTTTTTGTTTCTCTGGTGTTACCAACTTTCCCTCTGTCTCACATCTGGGAGAGCCCACCTGCAGAGCTGCCCCAGCCCTGGGGCCAGCACAGGAGGGACCTGGAGCTGCTGCAGAGAGCCCAGGGCAGGCACCAGGATGGGCAGAGGGATGGAGCAGCTCTGCTGGGAGGAAAGGCTGGCACAGCTGGGGCTGCTCACCTGGAGAGGAGAAGCTCTGGGGTCACCAAATTGTGGCCCTGCAGGGCCTGAAGGGGTTACAGGAAACATGGAGAGTGACTTGGGATAAGGGATGGAGGGACAGGACAAGGGGAGAATGGCTTCCCAGTGCCAGAGGGCAGGGTTAGGTTGGATATTGGGAAGGAATTGTTCCCTGTGATGAGGATGGTGGGGCACTGGCACAGATTTCCCAGAGCAGCTGGGGCTGCCCCTGGATCCCTGGCAGTGCCCAAGGCCAGGTTGGACAGGGCTCTGAGCAGCCTGGGACAGTGGAAGGTGCAGGGAGGGAAGGAGATGATCTTGAAGGTCCCTTCCCACCCAAGCCCTTCTGGGATCTGTTGAATTCCAATAACAATTAACCAAGGGCTCAGAGAGGTGCCATTTTCCAGGTCCCTTTCCCACAGCCTCTCTTTCCCCTTGCAGCCCCCCGTGTCCATCCAGTCCATCGTGGTGCAGGTGCAGTGTGTGAACAGGAAGGTGGGCACCATCATCAACCACGAGGTGCGCATCGTGGTGCGCGACCGCAACGACAACTCCCCGCAGTTCCAGCAGCAGCGCTACTACGTGGCCGTCAACGAGGTCAGAGCTTCCTCCTCCTCCTCCTCCTCCTTCTCCTTCTCCTTTGGGTGGGGTCACTGCTAAATCCCAGCTTGCACTGCCTCCTCCTTGAAAACCAAAAAAATACGGTTGTTTCTTGTTGTGCTCGTCGCTTCGGTAGGCTTCATCTAACATCTTATCCTGCGGCTTTTCCTTAAGGAATACAAAGACGCAGCAGAGTTTTCAGCAGGAATTTTGCAGAAGGCACCCAAATTTAAAGCAGTGTTTTCATGAATGAAGCGTTGTTTTCTGTTAAATTAAAGCACTTTTAACAACAAACCTATGTATGAGGAAAAGAAAGTTAAAAAACGGTTTAAAAAGGTTTATTAACAATGTTGAAGCTTGGCAAAGTGCAGATGTGGTTTATTGATGATGCTCTGATGCCTGTGAAATGAATTATTTTATTTTCTATTATTTATTATGTTATGGTTTGTTTGTTTGTTTGTTTTTTTAATAGAGAACTGTGGATAGGACCACTGTATCATTTGAAGAAAAAAAAAAAAATTTCTTCTTGAGCTGGTACAACTTCATTTCACTTTCCAATGAAGTTTTTCATTCTGTTAGGGACTGAATAATCTGCCAATAAGCAGTACAAAAACCCCTGTGTTTTCAGGGTTAGCATGTCAAGGCTTTAGTAATGAGTAGAAACAGGGACTTACATGAAATAATGGAAATTAGGAGGCCTGAAACTATGTGGAAAATGGAAAGATGGGTCAGTTTTGTGCAGATGAAGAGTGAAAGAAGTAGAATTATATTTAAAAAAATAAATTATATTAAATATGCAGCCTGGGTTTGCACGATGGGGGGAGTCTGTGAAAGAGCATGGCTGCTTTGATTTTAATAGACTGGATTTGGGGAAATTTCCTATTTTGTTGTGTTTGGGAGATTCAGCTTTTCAACATGTCCTTTTGTTGCCTCTGGTCTCCATGACCACGCATGTGCCTTGGGAAAAGAGTGGGCCATTGATGAGGTGAGGCATAATTAACCCAAAAGTATGGAAGAAACCCCTCCCCAAAACCACACATCATATTGGACCTGCAACTGACATAATGATAAGCAAGGTTTTTCAAACTTCCTGGTTTTAAATTAAATTAAATTTAAATTAAATTAAAATATTTTTGGCACTCCAGCTGCCTGTGTGACTTCCCACTGGAATCTGGGAGCACTGGGAAGGTCCTCCATGGCCTTGTCCATGGTTTTCACATTGGCTTTCACACGGCCATGGAATTTCTCTGTCTCTACAGACCCAGTGCAGGAATGTTTCTGGTCCTGAGTAAAGGCAACATCAGCACAGGCCTGAAGTGCCTGTGTGGGTTGTGCTGCAGGGCCCAGATCACTTCCAAAACCTGCACCATTTCTGCAGGGAAACCAAAGACAGGCAGTATGGCCATGCTAAGAAAACAAGGATTTTCCATAATTAGCAAGAAGTCCAAAATGCAGAGTGCAAAATGCACCATTCCCAATTATTTGTGTTCAGAAGTTGAGCAAGCTTCTGAGGACACCAAGCATTTATTGGAATTATTGCTGGGCAAAATGCACTGTTGCTCTTTCCACCAGCTGCACCCTGATTTAATTAATTTCTTCTTTTTATTTTATCTCTGTTCCATGGATAACATCTGACGTGGCACCACTGTGCCCTTGAGCAGCACCCTGTGAGTTCATGCTCTCATTAATTAATTAACAAAAAAATAATTCACAAAGCATCTCAGACTCTCTCAAAGGTTTTAATGAGTGATTAAATGTTTTAATGCTCATTTATTCTGCTCATAATTGGTGCTGCCTCTGGTGAATTTAGCAACAGGAATGCACTGGGACGAAAGGTTTGTGGTTAATTTTTGCTTCTGTTTTCTGGTTGCTTGTAAACCGAAAAGTACAGAAATTTCTCTTGCATAAGGAACATAAAACAACTCAATGAAGGAGTAGATTTTATTGTGTTTTGGAGAAATTGAATGGTTTTTATGTACCTATAGAAGACCTATGGGTAAAGGTGATCCTGAATTAAAATGTGCAGAGAAATTCATGTGAGTGGTTTGAAAACATGGCTTTTGCAGCTAAGAATCAAAATCTTCATTTCCTGTTTATTGAGAAATACTTTTTTGGTCAGATTTTAATTCTTCTGTTAAAAGCATGGAGCTGGGCTTGTCCTTGTCAGTGTTGATGGAGGCTGGAATGTTTGTTGGATGAGGTGGCTGAGCTGGGAATGGCAGTGCTGGGATCCACATGAAGTTACAAACAAAACTGATTTCTTTGAAGTCTTAGTTGAAAACAGATTTTCTGTTTCTCCACCATTTTGGAGCCAGTTTTCCTTTTCCCTTCCTGGTGCTTTTACAAGTCCAGGTGTCTCAGCCAACTCCAACTGCTCTCCCAAGCATTAGGAATCTCCACATGGAAGCAAAAACAAGTGAAGGTTGATGTCACCATTTTTATGATAATGAGAAATCCTCTGCAGACCAAGTTTGTCTTCCCCAGTTTCACGTGGACGTGGATATGGTGGCCCCTCCTTTCCTCCCTTACTCCAGGTGTTTTGTAGCCTTTTTTTCCAGTGTGTTTTGTCTTGTGCCATAATTCCTCACTCTACTGCTTCAAACACCTTCATCTGGGCCCTCAGAACCCTGACACATCTCAAGACATAAAGAGTGTCTCTGGAACATTCTGTCTATTGTCCAACAGTCCTTAGGGATTTGTTTCCTTCCATCATTCCCACACTTGTACCTATAGAAGACCCTTGGCTAAGGGTGATCCCGAATTAAAATGTGCAGAGAAATTCATGTGAGTGGATTGAAAACGTGCCTTTTGCAGCTAAGAATCAAAATCTTCATTGCCTGTTTATTGAGGAATACTTTTTTGGTCAGGATTTTAATTCTTCTCTTAAAAGTATGGGCTTGTCACATGGAGCTGGGCTTGTCCTTGTCAGTGTTGATGGAGGCTGGAATGTTTGTTGGATGAGGTGGCTGAGCTGGGAATGACAGTGCTGGGATCCACATGAAGTTACAAATAAAATTGATTTCTTTAAAGTCTTAGTTGAAAACAGATTTTCTGTTTCCCCACCATTTTGGTGCCAGTTTTCCTTTTCCCTTCCTGGTGCTTTTACAAGTCCAAGTGTCTCAGCCAACTCCAACTGCTCTCCCAAGCATTAGGAATCTCCACATGGAAGCAAAAACAAGTGAAGGTTGATGTCACCATTTTTATGATAATGAGAAATCCTCTGCAGACCAAGTTTGTCTTCCCCAGTTTCACGTGGACGTGGATATGGTGGCCCCTCCTTTCCTCCCTTACTCCAGGTGTTTTGTAGCCTTTTTTTCCAGTGTGTTTTGTCTTGTGCCATAATTCCTCACTCTACTGCTTCAAACACCTTCATCTGGGCCCTCAGAACCCTGACACATCTCAAGACATAAAGAGTGTCTCTGGAACATTCTGTCTATTGTCCAACAGTCCTTAGGGATTTGTTTCCTTCCATCATTCCCACACTTGTACCTATAGAAGACCCTTGGGTAAAGGTGATCCTGAATTAAAATGTGCAGAGAAATTCATGTGAGTGGATTGAAAACGTGCCTTTTGCAGCTAAGAATCAAAATCTTCATTGCCTGGTGATTGAGAAATACTTTTTTGGTCTGGATTTTAATTCTTCTCTTAAAAGTATGGGCTTGTCACATGGAGCTGGGCTTGTCCTTGTCAGTGTTGATGGAGGCTGGAATGTTGGTTGGATGAGGTGGCTGAGCTGGGAATGACAGTGCTGGGATCCACATGAAGTTACAAACAAAACTGATTTCTTTAAAGTCTTAGTTGAAAACAGATTTTCTGTTTCCCCACCATTTTGGTGCCAGTTTTCCTTTTCCCTTCCTGGTGCTTTTACAAGTCCAAGTATCTCAGCCAACTCCAACTGCTCTCCCAAGCATTAGGAATCTCCACATGGAAGCAAAAACAAGTGAAGGTTGATGTCACCATTTTTATGATAATGAGAAATCCTCTGCAGAGTTATTCCCTTGTTTTTTTGCATGACATATTTTTATTTACATAAAAATATCCCATTGTTATTCAGTTAGGAAAAACTCCTGACAATGACATTAGCCTGGGGCTAAATTTGACCGTACTGGTGACTTGAAGATTTGAGTTATTACCATACTAAACCCAAGTTCTGCAGCTAAGTTAAAATTCAGAAGAATTATGCAGCTCAGTTAATATTCTGCAGGCAAATATATGGCATTGCCGCAAGGGGTTTAAATTTATGGAGCTTAATACAGGGATTAGGAAGAAAAATCTTGTACTGCTGAGGCCCAGTGGTGGTGTCTGTGTTTTGTGTTCAACACAACTTATCTGATCGTTTTTATCTGGGCTAAATGCAGCTCCAGTTTTGCATTCCCTGGGTTTTCTAAAACTGACTTTCTTTGCTCTTAGTTTTTCACTTTCCTGAGTCCTACAGAGCAAGTCAGGGGTGTTTGATAGCAGATTCTGTTTGGAAGTAGAGGTGGAGCCCCAAGAACACTGTTGAAGTCAGTATTTATTAAATGCATGTAACCTTAGAGCTGCTTTGGGGTTGGTTCATTTATTTAGTTCGGGGCTTTTTGTTTTCCTCCTTTAATTTAGCAGAGATTGGAATCCTTGGCAAAATAAGAACCTTTCTTGAACTTCAGCCATCTCAGAACTTTGGGTTTGGGCTGTTGAGAATTAGAACTTGTGCTGAATTTTCATTTCTGGTGGTGTAATTATTCCTTTTTCCTTGTGGTATCGAAATAATTAATCTCTGCAGGTAGACATCATCAAAAGAGTGTTAGCTCAGAATGATTAACTGTAAATCTGGCTTTGCTCTGCTCTTTTGGGCAACTCTGAAAAATTATTCATTTTTAACTTTGTAAATAGGCAATAATAGGGAAATTCATTGTCCAAATGTTTTATGGAAGAGCTGAATGCTTCTGTCTGCATCTTGACTTCTAATAGCCATTAATCACGCTGAAGGAAGTTTTTAAGTGCTACAGCTGTAGACTGTGCAAGAGGAAGATTTATTGTGTGCATCTCCTCTCTGTTTGTTTAATTGCATTCTTTTTGCAATCTTCCTTGTTTCGTGTCATCATGATTCTTTTCCACTGGATTGAGTTCCCAAGGAGATGATTATCCTCAGGCTGTCACAGACACTCCTGGAATTGTCTCTTTGCAATCCCAAAAGTTTTGTTGTCATAAGGTAAAACACTTTGATGGTTAAACCCTTTGATGCACAACTTCAAGCCCTTTTCCTAGGACATACCAAAGGCTCCTATGGAGAAACAAAATTCCACTCTTTAGTGAAGGAATTTTCCCCAATATCCACCCTGAGCCTCCCCTGGCCCAGCTTGAGGCCCTTTGCCCTTGTCCTGTCCCTGTTCCCTGGCAGCACAGCCTGACCCTCCCTGAGCCTCCTTTTCTCCAGGCTAAAGTTGTATTTTATTAGGGGAACTGAGCTTCTCCTTGTTGTTCCAACAAGGAGGTGGCAGCAGTCTCTCAGAAATCCCTCACAAATTGTGGGAAAATATATTATGACTGGCTAATGGTAAATACCATAGTAAAAATCAGCACAATGCTGAGATCTCTGTGTAAAAGGTTTGTGAGGCTTGGAGTGCTGAGGGCCTCTCCCAGATGATTGGAAGTGGATTTGAAGTATTGAGTTAAGAGCTCATCTAAATTTTTTCTAAAGGCTGCAGGAATCTCTAATGTGAGATCTTGAGCAGGCTGGAAGTCACAGAATCGTGGAATATCCTGAGCTGGGAGGGACCCACCAGGATCATCCACTCCAACCCCTGGCCCTGCACTGACACCCCAAAAATCCCACCCTGAGAGCATTGTCCAAATGCTGCTGGAGCTCTGTCATGAAGGAGTGGAGAGGATTTTTTTCCCCCAGTGTTCTTTTCTAGTATCATTTGTGTTGCAGGAAAGAAAACTTGGATGAAATGGAAACGTGGGTGTCCTGAAGGTCTGCACATCTGCAGTCAGTTATTTTGGGTGCAATAGATCAAATGCAAGACTTCAGCTTTTGACTTTTACTGTTAGAGCATGGAATTGGAGTTCTGCTGTTTACTGATGTGTCATTTTTGCAACTGTCTCCTTTGTTATCACTTATTAATGTGCTTTATGGTGCTGGAGCCTTTTTATGTTGGCCACTATTTATCTGCACGCTGTCAGAAAGGGCTGGTGAGAGCTGTGCCAGCAGCTCCAGGGTGTCTGTCATCTCCTGGGCTGCTTGGATGTGACAGCATTTTTACAATATTTAATTTTAATAGTCTAAAGTATATGTTTTGGTTTTGGTTTGTTTTTTTTTTTTTTATGGGACACCATCTGCAGTACGGTGTCCAGCACTGGGATCCCAAATACAAGAAAGGTGTGGATCAGTTGAAATGAGTCCAGAGGAGGCCATGGAGGGGCTGGAGCCCCTCTGCTCTGGAGACAGCTGGGGGTGCTCACCTGGAGAAGAAAAGACTCCAGGGAGAGCTCAGAGCCCCTGCCAGGGCCTAAAGGGGCTCCAGGAGAGCTGCAGAGGGACTGGGGACAAGGGATGGAGGGACAGGACACAGGGAATGGCTCCCAGTGCCAGAGGACAGGGCTGGATGGGACATTGGGAATGAGGAATTGTTCCCTGGCAGGGTGGGCAGGCCCTGGCACAGGGTGCCCAGAGCAGCTGGGGCTGCCCCTGCATCCCTGGCACTGCCCAAGGCCAGGCTGGAGCAGCTGGGACAGTGGAAGGTGTCCCTGACCATGGAAGGGATTGGGATTAGATGATCTTTAATGTCTTTTCCCACCCAAACCATTCTGCATTCTACATGTCTGATGTCTCCAGAGCTGCTCCTCTCAGATCCATCTGGGAGCACCAGGATTTTGTCCTGTTTGGCCAGCAGAAACCTGGGTGATTTCCACCCCATACCACCCCATGACCAGCCAGCACCATGCCTGGCTCTTCCCACTAATGGAACCATTGTTTAAATGGGGATTAATTGGTTAAACTCCCTTATTTTGAGCTACAGGGTGTCAGTGCCCAGGCAGGACCTGAGGAGTGTCTGTGAGGAGAGGTGGGAGCTGCCCTGGAGTGAGGCATCCACAGCTCCAGCACTGGGCACATCCCAGACCTCTGCCAGCCCCATGGAACTCAGGAAAACTGGGTTAAGAGAGAGGAAAAGGGGTTTAAGAGAGGAGAAAAGGGGTTTAAGAGAGAGGAAAAGGGGTTTAAGAGAGGAGAAAAGGGGTTAAGAGAGGGGAAAAGGGGTAGAGAGGGGGGGAAAGGGGTTAAGAGAGGAGAAAAGGGGTTTAAGAGAGAGGAAAAGGGGTATAAGAGAGGAGAAAAGGAGTTAAGAGAGGGGAAAAGGGGTTAAGAGAGGGGAAAAGGGGTTTAAGAGAGGAGAAAAGGGGTTTAAGAGAGGGGAAAAGGGGTTTAAGAGAGGGGAAAAGGGGTTAAGAGGGGGGAAAAGGGGTTAAGAGAGGGGAAAAGGGGTTAAGAGAGGGGGAAAGGGGTTTAAGAGAGGGGAAAAGGGCGTTAAGAGAGGAGAAAAGGGGTTAAGAGAGGGGAAAAGGGGTTAAGAGAGGGGGAAAGGTGTTTAAGAGAGGGGAAAAGGGGTTAAGAGAGGAGAAAAGGGGTTAAGAGGGGGGAAAAAGGGTTAAGAGAGGGGGAAAAGGGCGTTAAGAGGGGGGTAAAGGGGTTAAGAGGGGAGTAAAGAGGTTAAGAGAGGGGGAAAGGCATTTAAGAGAGGGGAAAAGGGGTTAAGAGGGGGGGTAAAGAGGTTAAGAGAGGGGGAAAGGCATTTAAGAGAGGAGAAAAGGGGTTTAAGAGAGGAGAAAAGGGGTTAAGAGAGGGGAAAAGGGGTTAAGAGAGGGGAAAAGGGGTTAAGAGAGGAGAAAAGGGGTTTAAGAGAGGGGAAAATGGGTTAAGAGAGGGGGAAAGGGGTTTAAGAGAGGGGAAAAGGGCGTTAAGAGAGGAGAAAAGGGGTTAAGAGAGGGGAAAAGGGGTTAAGAGAGGGGAAAAGGTGTTTAAGAGAGGGGAAAAGGGGTTAAGAGGGAGGTAAAGGGGTTTAAGAGAGGGGAAAATGGGTTAAAAGAGGGGGAAAGGCGTTTAAGAGAGGGGAAACTGCCATGTGGCAGCAGGGAGTGAGGAGAAAATGGTGAGGAGGAGCTGGGAGTTAAGGAGTGATGCTGAGCCTGGGATAGGGGACAGTGCTGCTGGTCTGTGTCCCTCTGTCCCCATCCCAGGGTATTCAGGGTATTTTTTGCTGGCAGGATGTTTAATCCATGTTCCCCACAGGCTCCGTCCTGCCTGGTGGTGTGGGACAGAGGCCACCCAGGCAGTGGGTGCCTGGTCTCCCTCTTTTCCCTCAGGAACACGGGATTTTCCTCTCCTGAGCTGTTGAGGAGGCAGCAGGGGGGTGCCTGAGTGGATATCAAGGCACAGCCCATCCCCAGTGGTGGGAAAACCCCCTGCAAACCATCCTGGAACTTTGCCCAGCTGATTTTCAGGTTACTTTGGTCTTCTGTCCCCTTCTCCCACACACATCCCAGCCCATTAGGGCACATTCAACTTCCTGCACCCACGTGTGACACTTGTGCTGCCTGCTCCAGAAGTAAATAAGCCAAGTTAGTGACAAAACACGAACATAAAGAGTCGTGGTGTAAGTGTGTGTAGTGGTGGTATTATAAATTAAACCCCACTTGTTTTACCATAAAAAGGCTTTGAATTGGTGGCTTTTATTTCAAAGATTCAGTATTGTCAGCCCTGAAAATGTTTCCCAGAGAAGTCTGCCAACCATTACACCCTAATTAGCAGCTTTATAAATAAAACAGGAACTATGAGTGCAGGAGGAAATGGGGAGTTAAGTCTTTGCTTTATTGTGAGCACTACAAAACAGGAACGTGAAATAACACCCACATCTGCACCAAATGCTGGAATCACTCTGTCCTTTGCCTCCTGCTCTTCTTCCAATACTTCAAACCTTTTTAGGCCCTCTAGGTTTAAATATGTGCAGCAGCTTTGGGTAAGCTCTGGAAGGAAGAAGAGGAGCCAGTGGGACTCTGGGAACTGAAGGGCCACAAATGTGGGGAGCACCAGGGAGCAAAGGTTGTGCTGAATCCACAAGTGTTTGTTCATTTGTTCCTCCCTTTCAGGTTGATTACTTGCAAAGTTTCCTGAATATTTAAATTCAGAAGCGATGACTCCCAAGAAATCTTCTGTCTTTGCTCTCAATGGGCCTTGATTTCGTGCTATTTATCTGCGTGAGGATAATTATAAATGGATTCATTTTCAAACCATCATTTAATGGGTATTCAATTGCTGCCAAGGCAATATTGGAGCAACAGCATCACTCCTGTGTTTGCTCAAAGCCATGGAGCTCTATGGGTGTTTGTGTTTGCATGTAACAATATTAATCTGGCTCTGTTCACGTTGCTATGAAGATGCTGTCAAATAAGTTCTGTTTACATTTGCAGCTCATCCTTGTTTTCCTTCCTGAGTCTGAAAAATGAGCTTTTATTTGGTTTAATCTATATTTATTTCATGGGTTCTTTCAGGTTTAAAAAGTGTTTTTATCTTTTTTTGTGTTTTTTGGGTTTTTTTTAAAGATGAAATTCTGTCTTGATGCTTTATAGGCCAGAGCTAGGCAGAAAAATAAGGTTAAAATTAACTTTAAAACCCCAAGGTTTTAATAGGGATCTCTTGCTGTTCTTGCAGTTAACTCCAGTTGGAACAACCATCTTCACAGGATTTTCTGGAAACAATGGTGCTATTGACATTGATGATGGTCCCAATGGCCAGATAGAATATGTCATCCAGTACAATCCTAATGACAAGGTACAGCCACTCACATTTTTTCCCTCCATTCATTTACATTTATATTTACATTTATATTTACATTTATATTTACATTTATATTTACATTTATATTTACATTTATATTTATATTTATATTTATATTTATATTTATATTTATATTTATATTTATATTTATATCGTGAAGTAGTAAATGAACAAGAGGTTGCTGTTGGATATAAAGAAATGTTTTCCTTCACATCAAGTATTTTCTCTGCCCATGAGCTCTGTAACCACAGATGAATTTACCTTCCCTCTCATTGCCTTGCTGTCAGCAGCTGGATCATTTCACTTTCAGTAATGCCCAGAGAAATTGTCTATCCCATTCCTGGAGGTGTCCAAGGCCAGGTTGGATTTTGGGGCTTGGAGGAACCTGGAATAGTGGAAGGTGTCCCTGCCCATGGCAGGGCTGTCTCTGGATGGGCTTTAAGATCTCTTCCAACCCAAATCATTCTGGGATTCCATGATTTCTGTTTTGCCTCAGTATAAAGCCCCTTGTTGATTTCCCCCCTTGGGATAAAATACTTTATCCCAAAAGATGAGTGTCAAACTCAGACTATCTCCAGTTATTTATCAGTCTGGGATGCATTCCCAATCCTGTTTTCCTGCCCACCACGGATTCCCCATGCTGCACAGAGAACTTAACACTCATTCTCATTTATTTACTGAAAAAAACCTTTCATTTTTAGCAGTTATTTAGGCTTTTCAAGGAAAAAGGCCTTGCTATGTGATGTAAAGAAACAACATTCCTGTGTGCCTCTGCTGTGTTTGGAATCTTGTATTGCTGTTGCCTGTTCAAAATACTTAAATACTGACTATCTTCAGCACCAAGAGATTGAAGCATGGAAAGATGGGGTTTATTTTTTAATTAGATTAATTTGATAATGGAATTGCAATTGGATCTCAGGTCAGAAATGTGTGCCCTCCTGCCAGGTTTTCCCCCAGCTTTGTCACCTGAGTCAGGGGAAGCAAATAGATGGAACAAATTGTATTTCACTCCATTTAACATCTGCATTTACCCTGAAATGTGAATTTCCTCGGATAGGAACGTATGCATGAACTGGCACCTAAACGCTGATGTTCTCTGCTTGTTTAGCACTTCATTGCCCTCATGAAAGGCAGAATAAAGAGCAGATAAGTACAATGATGTGGATTTCTTATCTCTGCTGCTTGAGCACTTGATTTGAATGCACCACTGCAAATTCAGGATGGCAAAGGGGAAAGAAGCAGATTCAGTCAGACTTTTGTGGTTGGAAGTAGTAACAGATAGGTGAAGAACCCAGGAGAATTCTGTTCTGTACAAATTCATTACTGGGGGATTCTTCAGGAGGGAACTGGGTGGGGAGAAAACATGGAAAGTTTTATAATCTCTGATCTGAAGGGCAGATGCAGCCTTGGAATACCAGCCAAAGGATCATCCCATCGTGGCCCAGCTACAACACAACTTTGAGGCATGTTCAGTGTTATTGTGCTGTTTTCTCATTTGCAGACTTCCAACAGGACCTTTGATATTCCTCTCACTTTGTCCGGAGCAGTAGTTCTGAGGGAAAGACTAAATTATGAAGAAAAGACTCGTTATTTTGTCATTGTTCAAGCAAATGTGAGTATAAATCTCTTGAAGGCTATTTGTGCCCCTGATTTAGGTGTGAGTTTAGTTTCCTTCCCAAGGAAAGGCAGAGCCTTGTTGAAATAGCAGCTCTGATAAATCCTCTTCTGCTGAAGATCTAATTTAAGATTTATCCAGGCTGTTGAAAGCTCAGGCATATTATTCCTGCTTAAAAAAGCTTGCTCAGTGTGTGACAAGCCAACCTTTTTGGCACAAGGAGCAACTTGCAAATGTGCAGTGCAGCCCATGCAGAAAAGTGCAGCCTCATGGCACTAAATGTCCCATTTTCCAACAAATCTGGCAAGGCTAATTGTCACTCAGATGAGTTTAATGGACACAATTTCATTGTATTCTTCAGGCTGGAAATGCATTTTGTTATAAAGAGGTGATTTTTCCTTCAAGTCATACTGCAAGTGTACGGAGAGGTTTTTCCAGAGTGGCTGGCAGTGGATAACTGAAAAGTGATGTATAAACTGTATCTCAGATATCTGTCATCAGAGGGGGGTTTTGATGCCCTTGAGGGCTGTGAAAGGTTTTTCTCCCTTTTTGTCCTTCTGATAACAACTGAAATGAAAACTTCTCTTCTGTTGCTCACTGTTGTGATACATCTTTGTTCATGGGAAATGATATTTGCTCTGAAGCAACAGGAGATCCTGAATCCACACCTCCACATTCCTGTCATCTCTCTAGCACAGAAGTGCAGATATATTTTGCAGTCTCTTTTCTTACCTATTCTGTGGCATGTTCAGCATTCTGCCAGCAGAAGCCAGGCTCCAAGGGTGGCTCAATGCTCCTTGTCCCTGTGCCCCTGGGTTCAGGTGAGACCCCACCTGCAGAGCTGCCCCAGCACAGGAGGGACCTGGAGAGAGCCCAGGGCAGGCACCAGGATGGGCAGAGGGATGGAGCAGCTCTGCTGGGAGGAAAGGCTGGCACAGCTGGGGCTGCTCAGCTTTGGGGTGGCCTCACTGTGGCCTTCCAGGATCTGAAGGAGCTGGCAAGAAGGATGGAGAGAGACTTTTCCAAGGGATGGAGTGCCAGGACAAGGGGGAATGGCTTCAAACTGACAGAAAACAGGGTTATATGGGATATTGGGAAGGAATTCCTTCCTGTGAGCATGGGGAGGCCCTGGCACAGGGTGCCCAGAGCAGCTGGGGCTGCCCCTGCATCCCTGGCAGTGCCCAAGGCCAGGCTGGAGCAGCCTGGGACAGTGGAAGGTGTCCCTGCCATGGCAGGGGTGACACTGGGTGGGATTTAAGTCCTTCCCAACCCAAATCATTCTGGGATTCTATAACCCCACAGGCTGCAGTGAATTTTCTCTGGTGTGTACTGTGCAATCACATTGCTCTGATTACACTGCCAGTGCTTTGTTGTCCTTGCATCCTGAAGATACTGCTGGAAATTAATTACTCTCTATGTGCTTTGATCCGGAATTACTCAGAGGCACTTACTGGAGGAATGGAGGAATGGTTTAGTTGATGATGAAAGCTGCTCCTTGTAGCTGGGATTGTTTTTCATCACTGGCTGTGAAGAAAGCTGAATGCAGAAATTCCCATATTTACTCTAAATGTGAAGCTGGTGCAAGAACTGAGTGAACTGCAAAATAGGAAAAAAACAATATGCATTTCCATATTCAATCCAATTTAGAGCAATGGGCTCTTCATCTTACATAGATGATGTTATTCAACAGCATAAATTAAAAAAACAAATTTAATAATTCCTTTTTTTCTTTCAGTGTTACGTTAGAATAGGAGGGAAAGATGTAATTCATGGCACATATTCCCTCCCAAGGTTTTAGCTTTGCAAAGGAGAGCTCATGCAGCAGTTCCTCTGTGAAAATGGGAATATTTTTGAGTATTTTAAACAAAATATTAGCCAGCCATGATGTTTCTTCACTAAAGGAAGAAAGAAGACTTGAACTGTTGCTAATGTGTACTTTGGGTATAACCACAACAATTTCTGGTTATAAATAAGGCACGGGGCCTTTTTATGTTCTACAAACACGCTGCATTATTGTAGTTTTAGAAAAGCTGTAGTTTTCCCAGGCTGTATTATTTCTGAGCTCTAGATGTCTTGCAGTATTGCTTCAATTTTTCCCCTAATTTTACTTGTGAGCCTTTCAGGCTGCAGGTCTGAGGCTGAAGTTCCTGTAATCACTCCTGGAACATGGATAATTCTCACACTTACATGTTTTATCCTCAGCCTTGCTTAAAACCTTTGGGGTGATTCTTTTTAGGAAGTTTTTTTCCCAGGAGATTCTGAGTTCAGGGAGTCTCACCAGCTGGACCTGCTTTGCTCCACAGGACCGAGCGCAGAACCTGAACGAGCGGAGGACGAGCACGACCACGCTGACCGTGGACGTGCTGGATGGGGACGATTTGGGACCAATGTTCCTGCCCTGTGTGCTGGTGAACAACACCCGGGACTGCAGACCCCTCACCTACCAAGCCAGCCTGCCAGAGCTCACAGACCCTGTAAGTCCTCTGGGATCTTTCCAGGGTTTTATCTGTTTTGCCTGTCATCTTCTCCTGTGAGCTAGAAGGTGCTCGATGCCGTGTTTTGTGAGCCAAGCAAGAGGAAGCCAAGGTGAGATGCATGTGGGGATGATGGTGAAATTCCAGCTTGGATCCAGTGCCAAACTGCCCGTTGGCTGCAAGGGCTGAGTCTTGTAGAAATTTGGTACAATTTGGAATTGCCTTTCCTGATCTGTCTCCTTTTGCTCTCAAAATATCCCCAAGAAGCGCTTTTGGGAGGGGACTTGATGTTACTCCATTGAGGGTTGTTATAAACCACAGGAGAAAGATTTTTGGGAACAGGAAGCGTTAGTCACTGACCCCTGAAAGGATTTTTGTTGCAATTACCAGGTTCTGATCAAGAGGCAGTGAAGAGCAGTGGGGGTTTATCCCATGTAGGTCCTTGTGCTAAGTCTCTCAGTTAATCCATCCATAGGGTCGGGTAAAGGTGAGTGTAAGGCTCATTTCACACTCCATGCACACATGAATCCCAAAATGAGGTGATAACTTTTTCATTTCTTCTTGCAACTTGGTGCCAAGTGCCATTCCTTACAGCAGAGCTGCTGCTTGGAGATCTGCACCTCTGGTGGGAGGAACAGAAACAGGGATTGCTGAACTAATACTGATATGTGATCTTTGACTCATATAATTAAGAATGAAAAAAGGCAGAACCAATTGAATCACTGGGTATTGCCCCACCTGATTAACTCTGACATTAAGATGGCCTTAAAATAATGTTAAGCTTTGGCATTAAGGTGTGTAACTTGGGTTTGTTGTCACAGCACACACTCTGTGTCCTGCTGCCTCCAGCCAAAGGCAGGTTGAGGGTGGAAGCTGTCTTGGTTTGAAATGGTTTGCTAAGGAAGGCAGGAGCCTCCCCTGAAATGGAAAATGCAAAGCCACTCCCTCCGAATTATTATAATTTTGAAATTAAGGGGCTCTCAGGCAAAGATATGGGAATGGGAATAACAGTTCTTTATTAGGGAAGAAAAAAAAAAAATCAAAAAACCCCAATGCATTAATAGAAAACAACACTGAGTCAGACCATGCCCTGTTCCCCTGTGTGTCAGGGGGTGGCACAGCCCCATCCCATGGGGGCTCAGCCCTCCTGCAGTGCCAGCTGTGGCTCTGCTGGAGCAGGGATCCTGCACAAGGGGGGAGTTTTCCTCTGCAGCTCCAGGGCTGCTGCAGATGGGCCTGGGCTCCCTCTGGCCATGCAGGGCAGCAGAAGCTGCTCCTCTGGCCATGCACTGGGCAAAGGCTGCTGGGGTGTCCCAAAGCTCAGATTGGATCCAGGTAGGAATGCTTGGCTCCTCCCCTGGGCGGAGCTTCTCCCCATGGGATGATGGAATTGGATCAGCCATGCAGGGACACTCACTGGCCATTAAAAGGAGATAATTGATGGCCCATGAACAGAATATAATTAATAATTAATGGCCCATGAACAGCAGAGATCTCCTGGAGGGAGGGTTGGTTGTGGAAGAGATAAAGAAAACTGCCCAGTAAACAGAAGAGAACTGCCCCACCTCTGACAGATAGGAATGGAATACACATCCCCATTTCCAACCTCAGACAGAATTGTGGAGATTCCTGCTCTTCCCTGCCTTATGTCCCTTCCTGTCCTGTGCCTCACAGTCTTTTCCCATCCCACACATTTTGGTGTCATGCTTGGTGTGGCCTCAGGACTCCTGCTGCAGTTATCCTTGGGATGGGTCAGTGGAAGGGAGAGATGATCCCTGTTTTACCTTGGAGCATTGATTTCCACATCTGCCCCACACACACTTCTACGCCTTGGTGTACTTAAAGACCCTTTGTAGCTGTGTTGTGCTTGGGATTTGACAAGAACTGCCTTGAAATTAAATTCTGCTTTAATTTGCTTTGGGCTTGGTGGCATTTTAAGGAGAGGGGCAGCTCCCTGTCCAGCTGAGTGTGGGACCTCCTCAGGGTGAGCACCCAGACTGTGCAGGATGAGGATGTGACCCCATTTCCCCTGCACAGATCTGTTATAATCGCCAGTGTGGGAGCAGATGAGCAGAATTACAAATAACTGGTGCTTTTATGGGTTTTCATCTGCTTATCTGAAGGTGTAACACACACCAGGCAGTTTGTGTGGTGCTGCCTCTCAGTCAGACGATTCCAGCTCCAGCTCTGCTCCTGCCCTGGGCCAGGCACGTTCCCCACTGGAAGACAAAGCAGTGTCTGCCAGGGAGAGAGGCTGGGCCAGGAACAATCTGACCTGGGATTGAGGTACTGAGCTGAAAACTCATTTATTTAAACTTCCTGAGCTGCAGCGTGCTCAGGGCCAGCTGCTTTTGTTTGTTTTTTAACTTTTCTTGTGTCAAACTGCCCCATATCTATTAAATGAGCCCTGGGTTCTGTTGATGAACCACGAACTCTTCGCTGGTTATCTCTTTGCAGCACTTTTGATAAACCTGAGTGGAAGAAGTTATACCTTGAACCTCAAATATTTACTTGGCTTTTAAGAGATAATTCCTTTGGAAGATATGAATGATACCTGGATTCAGCTAGGAAATATTTACATTGCATTTATCCTTTACATTTTTATGTATTGTATTTATTCTTTACTAAGCTTCTCCATAGCTACCATCACCCTACTCCCTAGGCTAAAGGACTATTTTTAGTTTAACACCACCTTTTTAAAATTATTTTTAATTTGCTTTTTAATTCTTCAATGAAGATGAGAAAGAATATTAATCAATGAGGAACAAAGTTGAAGTATGAATTATTCAGAGGCAGTAGCTGGAAAGAGGTCTTGCTTTACTGGGCAAGATGTCCACTCAACTGACCCCTAAAATAAAGCATTTAATGTCACTGGTAAGAGTAATATTTTGGTCCAGTGTAGTTGGAATCTGTCTATGAATTTACTGAGGTAAAAAGTTGTGAATTAATTACTTGTTGTTGGCTGAATTTCAATTTCCAAGAAAACCTGTGTTGGTTGTTGATTAGGTTTGGGGATTTTTGTTGTTGTTGTTGTTACATTGCTTTATATTTATATCATATTTTAGTGTTTCTGTGTCTGATCAGCTCTGGTAATTAATTTTTTCCCCCTCTTGTGTCAGGAAGACTTGAATAAGTTAGCATTTATTATCAGGATGTGTGAGTCATCACGTGGAGTTAAAAAGTATAACCTCATGAATATCTCATAACATGGGCAAGATCATTTCTCCTCCTTTTTTCCCCCCTTCAGTCCATTCCCGTCACACTCACAATGTGAAGGTTTCCTCCACTTCTACACTCTGTATTTTCCATCACCATGCAAAGAAGAAAAGCCTGTTAGGCAGCAAAATATGGATTAGATTTATTTAATTAATTGCTGGGCCAGATTTGCAGCCATGGGATTTATTATGGGGTTCCATGGAGTTATTATGAGGGGTTCCATGGGGTAATTATGGGGTTCCATGGGGTTATTATGGGGTTCCCTGGGGTAATTATGAGTCCCCATGGGCACTAAGATGCTCCATGACACCAAAGATTTTGTACTCAGTCCAGATTGGACCTCACTCTTCTACAAGTTCCTTGTTCTTGCACCTCTGATGGATCTTCCTGCATGGAAGGGGTTTAGGTTTCTACTGATTATGGCCAGAATCCTCAGGAATTTTGCCTGAAGGGACCTCACAGGGTTTGTGGGGCTTAGGTGACCTCATGGAGCTGGGCCTGAGCAGAGCATGGAGAGATGAAAGGCTAAAAAATAATAAATAAAACCTTCTCAAACAACAGTGAAGCTGAGGGAGGTGGAATAAGACAATGGAGAGCAGAGGTGGCCCTGGAAGTCTTTATTAGTGAGAAGGACCTCTTCAGTTCCATCAGTTTGGATTCAGAGAGAGAAATCTGCATCTTTCTGAGGAGATGATGTAATCCCACTGAGTGAGGTGGGACTGGGAGCACAGGACACTCCCAGAGGGTGTTAATCAGCTCTGGACAAATCAATTTTATGCTAATTATTGGTAATTAATTAGTACTGTACAGGATGTGCTAATTAATTACCAGTAATCAGCATAAAATTGCACTTGAATTGGTTTTTGGACTTGAATTGGCTTTGGACTTGATGACCTCAAAGGTCTTTTCCAGCCTAGTTAATTCTGTGATTAATTCTGGGTTTGGGTACCTCTGTGCTTGAGGATGACAAACACCTGACAGTTCCTTCCAACTGAATTCCCTTGCAGTTCCTTCCTTTGGCCCTGCAAATCCCAATTTCTCCCAGACACAAAACCTCCTGGAATTTTGTCCCAGAGACACATTAATATAAAACTTCCAGCAACATCAGCACAAGTGAAAATTCTGGAAACCCCATCTCCCCATCTTGGTTGTAGTAATCAAAGAGAAAAGTTCAACAAAATGTTCTGGGTTTCCTCCAGTGGTCATTAAATTAATTAATTAATTGTTACCTTATTTTGCTGTGGGAAGGGCTGGTACAAAAGGCATTTGATCCAGGGATCTGCCATGGAATGAGCACCAAGTAACCACCCTGAAGTGGGAGAGATTTGCTGGTTCACCTGGAACTCTCATGCAGCTGCCAAGGGAGATTTTTGGGGCACTGAAAGACACAGCCCTCAGATTGTGGGCTGAGTTGGAGTGGCTGTGTGTGGCTAAATACACTTTAATAGAAGCTTTCAGCAGAGGAGGAGTGCCTCACTGACCTGTGTGAGTATGGGTAAAATCCCACAGAATAATTGGGTTTTTTTCTTGATGACTTCTAAACCTGATTTCTTAAAGACAATTCACAGGGAGGGAATCACCCCTAATAACAATCAAACTGCCTAAAACTAAAAAATCATCTTCAGTTGCCATTTTGTCTTGTCTTTTTTGGGTTTTTTTGGTGTTTGTTTGTCAGATATGGGACATTTTAAACTGCAAATGTTCACATTTAATGTAGGGAGTTGTTGGTCTCTGGAGCAGTTCAATCTCAATCTGACTTTATTTTCTTTGCCTTATTTGTACCA